CAGTAGACAGTTTTATTCGCCTTCGGGCATTTTCGAACTTCCGCTGGATAGGTCTCCAGGAGGGAGTTCCAGTTGACTGCGGTCATGGTGTGTGATCCGGGTAGGAGCACACTAGGAATGTCTTTGGCGTTTTGGTTGGTTTGGGCATCATGGTTGTGGTTTCTGTGAACACACCTTGGATGATACCCATAGGCTTATATATGCCGAGGGCGTACGTGGAATTGGGGTTACCATCCCGTATCGTCGTATTTTGTTTTCTTTATATTCCCCCTTCTCTAAATCCCATGCTATATCCCGTTTTCAAAGTGGTTGTTGTATTCTATTGATATGCATCGAAGTGAACCATTGGGTGGAGTTTTCTCCAGAACCTCTTGGTTACTGAGATATATTCGTATATCTCACCCCGTCTCGGGGCATTTATTTCAGGAGGTAGCAGTGGAGCAGGAGCCTCGGGCAAGAGGCCCGCAGAGTGAGCGATGGAGCGTTACTTATTTTGCATTTTGTTGGCCGTGTGGCCTAGGCTAGACTTAGGGCATGAACATGTCATTTGTATTTATTAGTAGCTTCATTAGCATCTTGTTCATGCCATTTTGCCTAAGTCTAGTAGTGATGTATTTGGTTATGTTGTCTTTTAATTAAGTCGAAATTTTAGAAGAATGTAAATTGAAGTTTTAGTTTCAAGTTGTAATTTGTAAAGCCATATTGTAATAGTATTGATGCATGTCTAATTATGATGGAAGGGCCTTAGGCCTATTTTAGGTTATGATAATATGTATGATGGAAATATGCATGAAAAAGGTGTTAGTGATTGCAACTACTTAAGAATGATTAATATGGACTCTATGTTTAATAACTATAAACTGGATTGGGTTGTAAGTGCCCCAAGGCGTTGTTGGTCCTTGTGTGTGCCACCCATTGGATTATTACTGTATTATCATGTGTTTATTAGGTACATTGAGGTTTTAAATGATCTTTTACAAATTTGGGATTATTGGAAAAACAAAGGAAACTCTGGCGAATTTTCTGTAGAATTGGCAGATTTTAGGCGAACTTCGGAAGAGCATATCTCCCTCTATAGAGGTCCCCTAGGGACGTGCCATACGTCATTTTGAAGGTTGAGATGTCCTCTACCTTGTGTCAAAATTTGAGGAAATTCTGGGTTGATCTTCGGCCTGAAATAAATAGAGAAACACGGACTGCCCATGTGCCCCTGCACCTGAGGCAGATTCTGGACCGGATTTGGGAAATTAATTCCCGCTTCGTTTCTCCGTCAAATTAAGCGTGTGATATGTCAAAATGAAGTTTGAGATGTCTAGTTTGTAGGATAAAAATTTGAGAGCAAATGGTTGAGTCGATTGAGTGCAGTAATTCGGGCAAAGTGAGTGGTTTGGGCTGTTTTTGGGGTTGTTTGGGCTAATTGCTTATCCAACTTCAAACGGCGATAACCGGAGCAAATGAGCTCCGAATTGAGCGTATTTTAGCTTGTTAAAAAGGGAATTAAGTAACACAAAGATATAATCTGAGAAGTAGGGTTGGTTGCGATCTGTTTGGTCGCAGAAAAACTTAGAGTGTAACATATTCGAATTGGTGTAAAACGTAAAGTTGGAAATTGGCTAAGTGAGTTTATGGGAACTCCTTAGTAACTTATAATAAGTAACGTAAGTGATAAAAATAGTTTAAATAAGTCTTCCGCAAGAGTTTATGGTTACGGTCACAGCTTTTAATTATTACGCCTTTTTATGTTTTAAATGCTCGCGTAATAATCGGAAAAAATTTATTCGCGTTTCATAAATGAACTGCTGTGATTGTAACTGCGCTTAATATCATAATTAATGTTAACAATACCGGTACGTAACGGGCTGTTACAAGGTGGGTGACATAGAGGAAGCTTTTAGCTTGAAGGAGAATAAAGCAGAAGATTGAGCTTAGGCGGTAACATAAGATTTAGTTTAGTTGTTAAGCGCAAATTAAGGATGCAAACTTAGGTTGTAGTCTATAGGTTAAACAAGAGTTGTGTAGTTTGGTAAATTTAAAACTTGTATGGGGTCTTGACAAGCCCCTGTTGCTTCAATGTATTGTATGATTTTGAAGAGATTTGAATGAGTTTGGTGAATTGATTGAAATATATGTTGAACTGGTTGAATACAACGTATGATTTTGAATTAATCCACCCAATTAGTTGTGGAATTTGATATAATGTCATTGATTTTGCAATTTGATATTATTATTGCTGAACAATGGAATAAAAAGTTAAACATGTATTATTATTGTTGAATAAGAAGTATTCAAATGTTACTGCTTTGATTTGGACCTCTGACATACAAGTATTGATTTGAGTTTGCCATAACTCCACAAGACCATAACTCTTGATTTTTGTATATATTTTAAGGGAATAACATCTATCCTTTTAAAGAATATAAACTTATATTCTTTTAGATCTTAACCGTTGATTTCCGTCCATTAACGATTATAATTTATTGGATTAAAATTATTAATTAATTAATAATAAATTTGGCCCATTAAGTTTGACCCAATAAATTATAACCGTTGATGGACGGAAATCAACGGTTATGATCTAAAAGGATATAAACTTATATCCTTTAAAAGAATAGATGTTTTTCCCATATTTTAATGTGGTTTTAGGATGAACAACTATAGACATGAAAATGGAAATGAAATTTTAAGATTCTTTACTCTGGATCAAACACTGGAACCAAGAAATACAACGTATAGGGAGAAGAGGTTAAATAATGGTGGTGAGAAAATGTGGGGTTAGGACTGGGTTTACCTACTGGGTCTAAACGCAGGGTCTGATCTATGTGGAAAAAGGGTATCTAATGCTTCAAGCTGAAGAAGAAAATGTAATTAAGAAAATGTAATTTATGAAGAGAAGGGATTTGAGAAATCTTCAAATACTTACCTTGTTAAACTAGATACACGGAGTACTTAATAGCGTTTGACGTAGATTTAACGGATATGTTTAAGGGAAATAATTGTTTTATGTCACATAAGACAACTATTTTATGTTGCACATTCATAGAATTTTGTGTCCATCTTTTCTTTTCTTTTTTATTTTTTTTTTAAATTGTGGGCTCCACAATTTTGTTTCACCCACATAAGATACCTATCTTATGTAACATAAGATTAATAACTCCCTATATTTAATTGTTGAATTCACATAGTATTGATAGGTTAATTGTTTCAATCCAAATTAAAGGGTGGGTTTTTGAAACATCACCAAAGTACAAGATGATAATTTATAATTTAACCTAATAAATGTATAGAAAATTTTTAAAAATACCCTAATGTTTGCTTTGTAATAAAAAGGGAAATCTTATTATCATGTTGTTGGAGTAAGGAAATTGTTCCTAATAACCTTTCGAAAATTGTGCCAAACTTTTTTCTTAAAAATAAAAAAAGGGGATTCACGTGAATTTGTGTCACTAGAAAAATTAGATTCATCTTACTTTGAATGATAAAAATAATGCCTTAATAAAACATGGTTTGATATTTTATAGGAGATAATTTTTATTTTTTACCTACACATAAAAATTTATAGGATCCATATTTATCAACTACACACTTTGTAGCTACGTAGCACCGATACTGACATAGGACACGTGACACGATACGACACGACACTCCGACACGTTAATTCTAAAAAATGTTAGATTTCGACACGTTAGGACACGTTTTGATATTAAATAATATTTTTAATTTATGCAGTATATATTATATTTAATATTCAATAATTTAACAAAAAAATGAATCTAAACTTATAATATTCATAAATTTTGCCAAGAAATATAAGATATCCCAAATATTTATATTAAACTCAATAAAATGGTAATCGTAATCCAACAAATCTAATAGTTGGAATTCAAAACTCAATGCAACGTAACTTTTGAACTTTTTTTTGAATTTCTATAACGCGTGTTGGAGTGTCGGAGAGTGTCGGAGTGTCCGAGAGTGTCGGGAAGTGTCGGACACGACACGTCAGAGTTTTTGAAGTGTCGGTGCTTCATAACTTTGTAGCAGATAAAATTACCTCCACCACGATGAGAGGGATATTCTTATTATTAAAAAATCCACTACTAACCTACTATCTATTTAATTACCATTAGATCAAAGAAAGAGAATGCTAAAGAATTTATGAAGATAAAAAAAATGTTGATCCAACGATGATTAGCCCTGTTGTAAAACTCGGCCTGACCCGGCCGGGTTGACCCGAAACTCGGTGAACCGGTCATCAGACCGGTTCGGGTTAAGCATTGGACAGGTCATGATCGACCCGGTCAAACCCGGCCAAACCAGGTGACCCGGTCGGGTCATGCATTTAAAAAAAAAAAAAACCATAATTGTTTCATCTTATCAAAAAAATTGTAAAACTCATTTTAAAAACTTTTTGTAATTTTATTTGCTAGTATACTCTTCTACAATGACCTCTTAGTTTCCAGTACTGAAGCAATTTGTGGAATAATAAATTAAAAAATATGACATATGTCATTTTAATGTAGTTGAATTTGAAAAATATGAGTTCAATGTCATTGAGAAGTATATTTATAGGGATTCTGAGTTGCAATTTAAATTGACATAGTATTAGCATGCACTTTTATTTATTTATGCTTCATTTTTTAGCTTATTTAGTGAATCTTGTTTAATTCATTTTAGATATGGAGAATATAATTGAATTTATATATTCATATTTATATATATTTTTATTTATCTATATATATCCGGGTCAACCGGTCCAATCAGTGACCCAGTATCCCGATCGGGTCGATGCCTGGATCGGGTTTAACAACACTGATAATTAGATAGGTAGTAAATTTTTTTGATATTAAGAATATCCCTTTATAAAAAATATCCCTAAATTTTTTTTAATCAAACCGTTAATATAATTAACACCTTTATGATTTTATTTTTTATTTTTCATTTTTGTCAATGCATATAAATAATCCATATTCGAGTCTCCCCTTGTTCTTCTACGCTTGAGTGAAGATAAGCTAAGAAGCCATGGCCTCTTTGTGCTCATTCTTCTTCTCTGCTTCTTCCTGTGAGAAGGTTGGTGCACTTTACCTTTGTCACCCTCTCACACCATCAATGTCTCTGAATGCTGCTACACCCTTTTCAACAACAACAAAAAGAAGAAGCAGGAGCTTCTGGAAGAAGAGCACTCTGGTTTGTGCCCTCAACATCAACAACAACAACGGATTGCAGTACAGGAAGCTCGGTGACTCTGACCTTAACATCAGTGAAATCACTCTTGGTACTGTAAGTTTTTCTCTCTCTCTCTCTCTTTCATTTTTCGCTTCCCTTTTGTCTTGTTGATTATTGATTGGTTAATGCAATAATTTCAGATGACCTTTGGGGAACAAAATACAGAGAAAGAAGCTCATGACATTCTTAGTTATGCATTTGAACATGGCGTTAATGCTCTTGATACTGCTGAGGCCGTAAGTTCTTCCAATCTTATTTTGCATTTGCTTATTGTATAAGCCTTGGTGAAATATTTGGATATATGAATTTTTTTAATCATGTTGTGCTTTGTTATAATGGTTATTTTATTTTTAATTTTTCAATCCCTCAAGTTTAGTTAGTTTGTTTCAATTACGATGTTTTACGTTATGCAAGTTTGACTATTATTGTGATAACTAACTGTTATGGACGGTAGAATCGCCTCACCCAGCTAGCTCAAATGGTTGAATAGGCTGGGTTGGGCTGAGTTTTGGCTTAAATAGGCTAATGTAAAATACTTTAGGCCAGACTTGGTCTGTTAGCTTTGTGTAGACTCAAATTATAAATCTGACCTGATCTATATTTAAAAAAAGTCTTGGCCTAGGCCTGTTAGCCTGTTTAAGGCTATTAGACATTCAATAATTAAAAAAATATTATTTTATTATTCAAAATCATTAAATAATAATCTTATTTATTTTATTTAAAAATAAATAATATGATATAGGCAGGCCTGTAAGCTTACCGTCCCGAAATGTAAAAGAAAGCGACCTGTTTTCTAAATAGAATTTTTTAAAAGCCTGATTCTGTTTTATTTCTATGTGTAATAGGCTGAGTTTGGTCTGATGTAGGTTGGGCCGTAGGCCCCTGTTAGGCTGCCTGACCCATTTACACCCTTAGTTTCCAGGCAAGCCCCAAACACTTAGCATATAAGAGCATTTGGCTCCTCATTACATGAGTCCCTAACATTTTTCACGCACGAATGACCTTTTCCACATTAAGGGTCACACAGCCTCACACCATAGTGGGGCCCACAAGGATGAAACAGTAATGGCATCGCATTTCCTAGAAGGGAATCTTCTCACATCCTATAAATAGAAGACCTCTCTTCCTAAAGTAGAATCATCTTCTCCATTGCTCACCTTGCAAATACTCTAATGAAAATTCTCCTCGGCCATAACCATGCTCTACACACATTCCCCTTTGATCCTCAGCTTGCCTCGATGACTTTGTAGAGCCTTGGTCTATACCATCGCCTCCTCAGTCATGGTTAGATCAACAAACTTCACTTATTTGGGATACAAAGCAGAATTGTTCCTACTCTAGTCTCTGGTTAGTTCACTATCACTGCCAATGGATAGGTGGTTTAGAAACACAAACCTTATTGGCTTCATTCGTGTGGCTTTCTTGTTGCTCTAATTTTAATTTGTAGAACCATATATGTCTTCATCTAAAAGTTGGAAATGCTACTACAAATACTCAATTATTTTGAGTCCATGTTATCTATTCTCTTTTTTGTAACTGATTTGTTCTTTGCACCAACTGGCCAACCCTGTTCCTGAAATCGACTTCACTTCCATCTTATGCTGCTGCTGTGTGTTCCATATGCCATATGGAATTACCTAGTGAATTTTAAAGTTCTGATCAAATTGCCTTTGTTTTATCATATTATTTTCTGGTTATCCACCGTTTTGTTTCTCGTTGCCAGCTGCATTGATAATTAGACATTGGTTTGCAGTACCCAATTCCAATGACGAAAGAGACACAAGGAAGAACTGATCTCTATATTGGTAGCTGGCTGAAGTCTCAATCTCGTGAAAAGGTATTGGGTGCTCAGTTCAAAACTCTATCGATTCTTATTTTTCTATCTACAGCTTTTAAGGCAGGGACTGTTAAAAGTAATATGGCTTAATCACTTCCAATGTGAAATAATGCTATATGGTTAGACAATTTTTTTAGTAGTAACTGTCATTTTTATAAGCCTGTGGAAGTTGTTTTTGCGTTGAGTAAAAATGCTTATTAAAATGAATTCTAATTTGGCACATTTTTCCATATATATTGAGCTGACCCTGATTCAGGAATGAGATTTGGCTTTTGGTCATTTTGGAAGATTTTTACTGTGTTCATTCTTTGCTGATCTAAGAGTTTGAAACCATTTGTGTACCATCTTGTGGATAGATTATTTTAGCAACAAAAGTATGTGGTTATTCTGAGCGGTCGAGTTACCTACGTGACAATGCAAATGTTTTGCGGGTTGATGCTGTAAATATCAGAGAAAGTGTAGAGAAAAGCCTCAAGCGTCTTGGCACTGATTATATTGATTTATTGCAAATTCACTGGTGAGTTTACAGAATGTAAACATTAATATCATGCGTATCTTTTTTGGTTACTTTATTGGTGGTGTATCTGATTTGAACGTATGAATTTGGAAACTTGTATTTAATATGCTGCGATACAACCACCCATCACTGGGGTGTATCTTAGGCATAGCCACAGGGGATCAAATCCCCCTAATTCACACACTATTCATGATGGCATCTTAGAGGGGAATGGCTGTAATCTGTTATATGGTTTTCTGCTTCATTATAGGCCAGATCGCTATGTTGCATTGTTTGGTGAGTATTGCTATGATCCTTCAAAATGGAGACCTAGCGTGCCATTTGTTGAACAATTACAAGCTTTTCAAGAACTTATCAAAGAAGGAAAGGTAACTGATTTCTATTTATTTACTTTAAGCATTAGCTTTTCTAGATTCTGAAGGAGTCCTGATGATTGGTGTAGGTTTTGGCTTGGAGAAGCTGAGCACTTCTTTTTATTTGCTAAATAATTGTTCAAACTGAAATTATGTTATATTTGCTAGTAAGTTGTAACTTTCTTTTGCTTAATTTTAGTGCTATGCTTGGTAGAGAAAGTCTAACCAAGGAGTAGTAGAATGAATTGTTTTTGTCTCTCAAATTTTGTTGGTTGGACGAGAGGTATAAGATGGCCATACCACTTGCTTTTGTGGACTACTTTGTTATGTGATGTAGCAAATGTTACATATCCTAGTGGCTTACAAGTCTGTAAATACAGACAAACTAGTATATGCTGCAAAGCAATCAGCATAAACCCATAACCTTCTAGTCTAACCAAGCTAGGATTCACTGCCTCAACTCTTCGCCTTTTTGTATCCCTTGATCCAATTGCAATGTAAAATTTCAATATTCCGACCACAATGTCATGTTCATTCTCTTATGCATGTTTGGGATTCAGTTTCTTGAGATTTTTGCATGCATCAGGTACGTTACATAGGCGTTTCAAACGAGACTTCATATGGAGTGATGGAATTTGTCAATGCAGCTAAAGTTGAGGGACTTCCAAAGATTGTCAGTATCCAAAACAGCTATAGCTTGCTTGTTAGATTACATTTTGAAGGTAAATGCCATTCTAACATGGGTCAGTTCTATTTCATATGGCTGGATGTTATCTTGCTTTGTGATGCAAAGCTGCAGCTTTTGTTGTCCTGATAATTTAAGATTCGTGTCAAATAGCTATTCTACTTTTCTTAAAAAAACACACAGCTCCTTCAGAAATAATACGTAGGTCCAAAAGAGAAAAAAAAAAGATTACACCTAAAGCTTGGAATACTTTGGTTTCTTTTGTTAACAGTTCCATATGCTGCATTAGTGGAGACTTGATGTTATACGAATGATTACTGATAACTTGGTTTAGTTCTCTAGGAATTATGTTGCCTGAGATGCAAGGTTGAAGATGGTAAGAGACATAGGTATATTGAGTTTCAGTTTACTCTTCATTGTACTTATAGATGCTCTGAATTTTTTGTGTTGCTGATCTAATCATGTTATTCTAGTCAAGGACCTTCCGTATACCTTACACCTTTATTCTTAAGTTTGAATGCACATAGTGGAAGGTATTCTACCTGCCTATCTTCTACTCTAGAATCTTTTTACTTTTACATTCCCATTAATAATTTCTTTTCCACTCATGATCCTCATTCAAATTCGGATTTTCACTTTGGTAAAAATTAGAGTGATAAGGAGGCAAGTGAATTACAATCTTTTTTGCATTTACTAGAGTTCATTCAATTCTCTGAAAGTTCTGACTGTAAATTTTTCTTCTGGCTTTTTCTCTTGTAATTCTCTCTTTCAGCTTTTCATTTAATCCCCAAACCATCCAATAATCCTCCTTGACCAACTTATCTGGAAGTCCTAAACTCCTTCTTTAGGTTAAGTCCTTTTTCTGGACATTTGATCTTAACAGGATTAGCAGAATGAATTGCTACCGATTTGCTGATTGGGCCCAAAAAGTAGTTAATTAGAACAGTTAGTTAGAATAGTCATACAATTGAAGTGATTGGGCAGTTAAAGTTCTTAACTACTGGGACGGTAGAACACAGGCATTCAGAGTTGTTAGTATTTAAAATAGAGCTATGATAGATAAATCAAAATTTTCACCTTTTTTAAGTTTCAGGTCCAAAGCACACTTGAACCGAAGCTGGAGGGGTTGAATTAAACTTTTCTTATCATGATTTTGCAACGAAAAATAGTCGCATGATTTAAGTGTGACAATTTCTGTTAGTTTTTAATAGAAAATTATACGGAAGAACTAAAGCGCATACTTTAGAAAGTTTAAAAATTTCATTGTATATTCTTAAAGATTAAGGATCAATGTGTACATGACCTTAGTTAGAGGGGATAAATTGGACTTCTCAATTTTTTTAAGCTTCTTTAAATTCTTTGTTGGTTTAATTTTTTGCAGTTGATCTTGTGGAAGTTTGCCATCCAAAGAATTGCAATATTGGCTTACTATCTTATTCCCCACTTGGAGGTGGATCACTCTCAGGAAAATATATAGATATAAATTCTGAAGCTGCAAAAAGAGGAAGGTTGAACCTCTTCCCTGGCTACATGGAAAGATATAACAAATCGGTGGCACGGGTACACCAACTTAAATCTAGTTCTTCTATTTAAGTTTAGACTATGTTCGGTTTTCTATATCAAATTGAATCGAAAATGTGGTTCGGTTCGGGCAAACCAAACCAGTTTCAAAAAGTGGTTTGGAGAAAATGGTATGGTTCTTAAACCGGTTCAAAAAAATGTGATGTGGTTCGGTTTGGTTCATTTGGTTTTTCATATTCCTAAGAATGGGTATGGTTTGGTTTTTAGCCCAAACTGAACCGAATTGGTAAAATGATTCGGTTCTTGTACCGAACCGATTTTGAAAAAACGGTTTGGTTCTTGAACCGATTTGAAGAAAATGGTTTGGTTCTTGAACTGGTTCAATAACCGTGGTTCTTTTGTGTGGTTTGAATTGGTTCACATTTTAGTTCTTTTCATTTGGTTTTTTTTCACACCCCTAATAACTAATTAAGAATTTCCTTCTTCTTATTTGGCTGAAATTCAGGAAGCAACTATAGAGTATCTTGAGTTGGCCAAGAAGCATGGTCTAACTCCTGTTCAACTTGCTCTTGGATTTGCAAGAGACCGTCCATTCATGACAAGTTCAATTATTGGTGCAACCTCTGTGGACCAACTAAAAGAAGACATTGATGCTTTTACAAAAACTGAGCGACCTTTACCAGTACAAGTCATGGCAGATATTGAAGCTGTCTTCAAGAGATACAAAGATCCTACCATTTTTTGAACATTATACCATGGATTACTAACTCACTGCTATTGATTTGTCCTGCTCCCATCTCTCTCTCTCTCTCTCTCTCTCTCTCTCTCTCTCTCTATTTTTTGTCATGATTAAAATTTGATTCATGTATACTGAATCAGTGAATGAAAAGTATGTTGGGACTGCATTAGGTAAAAAAAATTGTGTAAAACTAGTGACTATGTTATGTGGCTGGACTTTACTTGTGGGACATGAATCCGAAACTCATTTGAAATACCTTCTGGTCAAGTCAAGTTGGGCTGCGATTTTTATTGATTAAACTATTAAATTATAATTATTTATTACTTTATTTATTTATGTTAAATCTTGTAAAAGTTCAATATTAATATGAGTATAATCAAGTTAATTTTCTCTTCATATATTTTAAAAATATATATCATGTTAATATTGATCTATGTCAACAATATATATATAATCAAAGCGGAAGCTTGGAGCAAGTGTGCCATCCCATATTGGTTGAATAATCATTATTTGATTAGTTCAAAATCAAGTCAAATTGATTTATAATATGCTTACAATTAACCACAAACCTATACAAACCCTTATATGTACTAATTAATTCTCAAGTAGAGTAATTTAACCTAAATTTGTACTTATTTTTTTATATATAAATTGCCCATGATCTAAAATGGTTTTTATTTATTTATTAATTTTTCTATCCAAGCTACCTCATTTTTCTTTCAAATGATGCTTACTCACCACAACTATCTAGTAGGTAGAAAATTAAAATGTTTTATTTACATATAAAAACTTATATTTGGACTACATTTGGTTATTGGTAAGTTAACATTTAATGTAAGTTATTATTATGTTAATCACATAATAAATGTTATTAACCAAAATTTAACATAATGGTAGTTGAGATATAGGTTTCATGTGCATTAGAGTTGAGTAAAAATACATAAAATTGAGGAAGCAGTTTAGTTAGTTGGTGGACGTAGAAGCATTTTAAGAAGCGCGCCAATATCTCACTCCCATTCCTTTTACGTAACTTTCGCATCTTCTCTCTCTTTCTCTCTCCCAATTGCTGAATCCAAATTTGCTCAGAAACTGATCATACACTCATTGATGCAAATTTCACACCCCTTTTGCCAAATTTCAATCTTTTTGGGAGTGTCATGAGAAATCTTCATCTGGGTCATTCTCTGTTTTTTGAATCTATAGCAGAGACCCATTAGTACCATATCAGAGTCTGAGGAATTTTTTTTTTTTTTTTTAAATTAATTAAATCCTACTACTTTTTTTGGGGAAATTTTTCATCTTGAAGCTTTTGGAGACTTTGATGAGAGGCCCAAGTAGAAAGTATGACGCTTGAGCTTTGTCGTCTTCAGTTGTTTCCTTACAATTTTTATCAGATGGAATGGCAGATCCTGCTAGTTATTGGAATCATGATCGAGATATTGAGCAAGTTAGTTTCTTTACCATATTAAACTTTTCTCTTCATTTGATTATTTGGTGGCTAGAAAATATTAGAATTTTGAATTTTTTTCATCAGGCATGATCATATTTGTTTGTTTCAAGTGAGTATTAATTTTTGGTGTCTTTATTGTAGAAAGATAACTCAAAATATTGGGGATCCTTTTTGTTTTAGGGGTATTAGTTATAGACTTGTAGTTAAAATGCTATGTTGTGTATTGACAATTATGGATGCTGGTGTTACTCCTAATGAATTGATGAATTGTTTCTCCTAGCTAGAAGCAGTATGATTGGAGATAAGACATGCCCTCGCAAGCTACATTGTTTGATTGCAGGGGCAAAAGGCAGGGCAAAAGAAGGGAATGGAATTTTGGGGAGGGTGGAGAGGCCCAAACCTGAAACCGGATTAGTCGGACCCGTTAGGGTTTGGGACACCGGTTGGTATCTACCAAAAGAAAAAGAAGGAAATGGAAAATATGTCGTGAAAAACATAGCATACATACATAGAGAGAGGATCAATTTATACTAGTGTAAGTCTAATAAGTCTTATATTCATCTTTAGCCATTGATCCCACTTGAATCGAATGATCCACGTGACTAATAAAAGTGTACGGCTTACACCTGCTTCCCTTAGAAGGGGAAAAATATCCAAATTGATTCATGAGACAAGAGAAAGAAAGCAATTAAAAGGATGCTGAGGTATCTTGGTTTGTATATGTAGGCAATATGATATAAAACTTGAATCAATTTACTTAACATCAATATATGGTATTCTAGGAGAGGCAAAGTGAATATTTGTTAAAACCATGCACGCAGAGTAGCTATGCTAAAGAAGCAAAAAGATGGGGAAGGAAACTTTCATTGAACATGGTCATGATATTGCTCCTTTCTAAGTAGGTTTTGATAGGGTAGCAATCAAAGTCACTTTATCTAAATGGGGAAAATACTTAGGAAAAGATTTTGTGGCCACTGTAAGCATGTTCAAGTTTACATTTCTGCAATAGGAATTTGTTACTAATATGATATTTTAAAGATTATGTTGTTTAGGGGCTTCACTTTAGTTTAATTTTTCTTTTACCTCTTTGTGAAGGCACTCATTGCTTTAAAAAAGGGCACTCAGTTAGTTAAGTATAGTCGAAAAGGGAAGCCAAAATTTTGTTCATTCAGGCTCTCACAGGTGAGTTTTTTTACTGAAAAAAAGTTTTCATTTATATCCCAACAAAAATACATGCACATTATATAAATTGAATTATATATCTCTGTATGAATGATTTCACATTTAGTGGCATTAGCAGGATGAAACAAAACTGATTTGGATTTCTCATGGAAGGGAAAAGAGTCTGAATTTGTCTACTGTTTCGCGCATCATCCCAGGACAGAGAACAGTAAGTTAAATGCTTGGCCTTTGGAAGGCTAGATTTATGGTTATTTAGCACTCTGATATAGATATCCCAAGTTCTCTTTTAACTTGTACTTTGCAGGCTGTCTTTAGAAGATATTTGCGCCCTGAAAAGGATTATCTTTCATTTTCACTTATTTATAAAAAAGGGGAGCGATCACTTGATCTGGTTAGAAAATACAGTAACTCTCATATTGGACTTGAATTTGTCACTTTCATATAAATTTTTGAATCTATTGCTTACCCTTTTCATATGTCTAGATCTGCAAGGACAAAGCTGAGGTAGAGGTATGGTTTTCAGGCCTCAAGGAATTAATTTCTACTGGACTGCGTAGTAGGAGTAGGAGCACTAGAAGTGAATTAACTGATGTGAGTTTTAATATAAATTGTTTAAATGATAATTTAATTTTCAACTTATCTTAGTTTATACTTTGTTAATAGTTGCTGATTCCTATTTATTCCTTCAATTTCCCATGGACTAAATTCTACGTTTATTGTATTGGAAGATTATTTTATCACTAAGCTCAGCAGAATCTTAAACTCCAGGAAATGTTATGCTGGAGTATACAAACTATAGGATGTTCAGTGTAATTTATTCTAAAAAAATATGTGAGGAGTATGAAAAAATCAAATCTTATTAATATAAGGTTAAATCTATATATGCAAAACTCGTCAAAATATGTAAATGCTCAAGATGAGCTTTAGAATTCCATCTTGTAAACTTGTTTACATAAATTATAATAAATGGGGTGACAAAGATCAAACTAGCTTTCAAATATTTGATTATTTGATGTCATTGTTAGCATGAGCTCATTTTTTTTTTATATATCAAATACCATTTTTCTACAGTCATGTCAAGGAGGAATTCTCCTTTTAAGTTTAAGTTGTTGCACATGAATTATATTTTGTTTCTAATATCCTTATTTTGAGAACATTTCAATGAAGTATTTTTTTTTAATTTCACTTGCAGGATAGTGATGACTATGTTCTGAATGTTCGTCCTTTTGGTGGAACACTAGAGTTTACCTCAAGCATTGCCCTTGGCAGGTTTTCTTGTGATTCAGTTTCTCGTGAGTCTACATCGTCTTATTCAGCAAAATCAGATGTGGGGTCAGAACATTCAAATATGCCAGTAAGGACAAGTGTTGGAGATGGTTCCCGTGTTAGTGTGTCAAGTATTAGCCACGCAAGTAGTGTAGCATCAGGACCAGATGACATAGAGTCTCTAGGTGATGTTTATATATGGGGAGAGGTTTGGTCAGATGCCATTTCCTCTGATGGATTAGGGACTCAAGTCCCTTCCAAAACAGATGTGCTGACTCCCAAGCCATTAGAATCTGATGTTGTTCTTGATGTTCATCAGATTGGTCCTGGTGTGCGTCATATTGCTCTTGTTACAAGGCAAGGAGAGGCTTTTACTTGGGGAGAGGACTCTGGTGGAAGGCTCGGTCATGGATTTTGTAATGATTATGGTAGACCACAACTTGTGGAGTCCCTGGTAGTTACTAATGTGGGTTTTGTTGCATGTGGTGAGTATCATTCATGTGCTGTAACAATGTCTGGTGATCTATTCACATGGGGAGATGGTACACATAATGCTGGAATTCTTGGCCATGGCACTGATATTAGCTACTATATACCAAAGAGGGTCGCTGGCCCTTTAGATGGACTTCAGGTTGTATCTGTTGCATGTGGCTCATGGCATTCAGCAGTGGCAACCTCCAATGGAAAACTGTTTACCTTTGGTGATGGAAAGTTTGGTGTCTTGGGCCATGGAGATAGGGAAAGTGTGTCATATCCAAAGGAGGTACAATTATTGAGTGGACTAAAGGCTATTATGGTTGCATGTGGAGTATGGCACACAGCAGCCATTATTGAGGTTATGGATCCTACTGGTACAAACGCTTCTTCATCCAAGAAGCATCTTTTCACATGGGGTGATGGCGACCAATATCGTTTGGGTCATGCTAACAAGGAAACCTACCTTCAACCAACATGTGTGGCTGCACTATCTGAATATAGTTTTCAACAGGTTGCATGTGGACACACTATGACTGTTGCACTCACTGCATCTGGTCATGTTTTTACTGTGGGAGGCACTGCAAATGGTCAACTAGGAAATCCAATGTCTGATGGAAAAGTGCCAATTCTAGTAAGAGATAAATTAGTAGGTGAGTTTGTGGAAGAAATATCATGTGGGGCATATCATGCCGCTGTTTTGACTTCAAGAAGTGAACTATATACTTGGGGGAAAGGTGCCAATGGAAGATTGGGACATGGAGACACAGAAGATCAGAAAACTCCAACATTGGTGGAATCCTTGAAGGACAGGCACATAAAGACTATAGCATGTGGATCCAGTTTTACAACTTGTATATGCATCCATAAGTGGATTTCTGGAGCTGACCAATCTGTTTGCTCTGGTTGTCGACAACCATTTGGTTTTACAAGAAAAAGGCATAATTGTTATCATTGTGGATTGGTATATTGCCATCCTTGTAGTTCAAAAAAGGCATCCAAAGCAGCATTGGCTCCAACACCTGGCAAACCACATCGTGTGTGCGATGCTTGTTATGCTAAGCTTAAAGCTTCTGAGTCTGTTAGTGCTTCCAATTTTAATAGAGATATTACTCGTGCTTCCAATTCTAGTTCCATTTATGGAAGGGAAAGATTTGACAGGGGAGAGGTAAGGCCTTCAAAAGTTCTCTTGTTTCCCATCACAGAGTCAGTAAAACTCCTTGACGTAGGGACTAGTAAGGCTGGAGGGTCTGCTCTAAATCCTTCACGTTTACAAATGAAAGATGCTGCATTTCCAAGTTCAGTGAGTGCCATGCAGAATGCTTCCAAGCCTGTTACTGTCATGCAGCCAAGTCACCCTCCACCTCCACCTCCACCTGCTAGTTCAAGACCTGTATCACCATATGCAAGAAGACCACCAAGCCCAACGCGTTCTACCTCCCCTGGATTTTCAAGAAGCCTTATTGATAGCTTAAAGAAGAAGAATGAGCTTTTGAATCAAGAAGTCTCAAAAATGCAAAACCAAGTATACTTCATAGTTTATACCATTTTTAGATCAAATAATTACATTCTTTACTCTCAGAGGAACATATATGTCCCCATTCATAAGTTTTTATGAATTTTTCTTTTCGCATATAGATTCGAAGTTTGAAGGAGAGGAGTGACATTCAAGATATGAAGATTCAGGATCTTCAGAAAAATATTGAGGAAACCACCTCATTGGCTGGGGAGGAATCTTCTAAGCATATAGACGCAAAGGAATTTATTAAGTCTATGACTGATCAGGTATCTAGATTCTATATCTTGACATCACTATTGAACTTAGCTTATTTAAATAAAAGTTTCTTGTTCAGGTCATAGAACAGTGTTTTATTAAAAAATGAACGAAAGATCATACAAGTGGGAAGTAAGAAATCTTTGAAAATAGATCGGGTTTCCAATTGCATCTTCAAACTGCTAGTGGGGCTAACTAAAAAGATATTGCATGGTATAAGCTTAATTTTTCAATCTGAATAACTCTGAAGACAGATGAACCTTCATTCTTTTATCGATATCCTGATCTTAACTGTTAATTAATGGGGTTAATTAGAGAGTTATCGCATGACTTCAGCCTTATGTTTGAACCTGATGGGAAAGAAAAAGGTTGTTGATCATTCTAATCTAAACAGCTAAACTTGCTTCTGTTTGGTTTTATTTAGTTGAGGGAAGTGACTGAGACATTGCCACCAGAGATTCCTGACAATGAAACCTTGAGAACCATACATGCTCAGGCTGAAGATTTTCTTAGAGAGAGAATAGAATTTGAATCTTCTTCCTTCCCATCAAGCTTTGAGTCTGAGCAACAAAGGGCACCTGATATACCAGCCTCAGATAGTGACTCTTTAAAGCTGCAAGAGCAAACACTGGAAGGAAATGACGACAATGCTGGGGTTGATCCATCTATAGATGGAGGAAATGTTCTTCAAGAAAGCAACAGATCATCTGTACCTAGTACAGGATTGCCTCCACCAAGCTCAGAAAACAGTTCAAGAACACCTGATTCTTATAAGCCTATGAGAGAAGGAGAAGCATCAGTCATTGAACAATTTGAACCTGGTGTTTATGTCACGCTCTTAGTGCTACCTAATGGTAGCAAAGTTTTCAAACGTGTTAGATTCAGGTATAAGAGCTACTTTCTAATCTAACAAATTTCCAGATCTATATTTCCTTCATGTCAATATGCTGTGTATCTGTGGATCATTTTTTATTAGCTACTAAATTATTCTATTTTATAAAATACCTTCTTCTCAATGGGGGCATGTACATGAGTATTATGTGTGTGTTTGTGTGACTAAAAGGGTACTAAATTGTTGGAAACTTATATGGTCTTCTATTCCCATTAAGACCACTAAACAAAGATATGATGCTCATTAGCAACTGTGGAGGTTTTGATGTGCATTGATAGATTCTCATTTTTATTTTTTTAATCATCAGTTCCTACTTGATGTATATTCTTTTTATTCTTTTACACAATATTGGCATATGCAGAATGGTGTTATTATTTGATTACATGAAAGTTTCTATGGTAAATTGGTTTTTGTTATTTTGTTTCCACCTTTTGGTTTGATGACAATAGGTTAATGTTTTATGACATTATAAATTTATAAACCACTAGGTTATACCATTAATTAGAGCATTGGTTTTCTTTTTCAGTTCTTTCTATCTTTAATACTATTTCTCTCTTTTCAATTTTCCCTTTATTATTTATTATTTTTTCTTTTTTGGGTGCAGTAAGCGAAGATTTGATGAGCATCAGGCAGAAGAATGGTGGAACCAAAACAAAGATAGGGTGTTTGGGAAATATAGTCCAGCACCCATAAAGAATGCAATTCCTGGGTCATCTATCACCCCACCTCATGCTGAAGAGAATATTGAAGCATTACCTTCTTCCTAAATTTAGCTCTATGCTCTAACTAGGCATCACAATAGTCTGATGAGATGATCCAGAATAGAAGCAACATCAAATATACCAAGTGTGAAAAAATCTATATTAGGCAAATTACTGCAAAATTTTAGCAGCATCTACAACATTCTGAATATGACCTGCAATAGAGGATAGAATATATAGTAGGAACAACATAACATAATGTTTATAGATAGTAAACTTAATTATGATTTTAACATGCTTCGGATCTAACTCTTTCCTTGGAATTGTGCATTTGTACATATGTAATTTAACTCCTACAAAGTCTAGAGAAGCAGGTAACATATGAATAAGGAATAATGCCACAAGCACACTCCTGTTTTTTCTTTTTTCTTTTAAATAGAAGTGCATACTACTTGCTTTTGTACTGTTTGATTGCCTTGAACTAAAAGCCAATTATGTGATTATAACCTATGTGGAAAAGCAGTGGTGGAGTTAGGGAAGGATTAGGAGGGGTCATCGCCCCCTCAATTTTTTTCAAACCTTTATCTTAGATTACGTTCAGAATTAAAAGAAAGGTAATGTAACATAAGTTCACCCCCTGATCCTTATTATTCATTATGTATGATGAAAACTTAGAGAATTCTTCAAATCTGACTACGTATCGACCCACTATCGTGTGTTGCCCAGTCGAAATTAGTTCGAATTTTGCTTTCCCCATCCCCTCTCTCAAAACTTTATGGGAAGTCATTTTATTTATTTTGTTCTGCTAAATTTGATGTAGCAGGCTTTAGAGTGGGGTAGACAACTATTCCTAAAGGATATTAAATACGGTATGAATATCAACAGAAAGTAAAAAGTCTATGTTGTTTATACTCTGTAGACTATTGACATGCAAAATCCATTGAACTATTGATTACCTTACGAAATCCTGAAGAATGTACAGACTCTACTTTTAGTGGTTATCTTTTTCTAAGAAAAGTGGAAGCATGTGGCTGCTGTTATGTTTTTCGGCGAGTCACTATCCTGTCTAATTGACTGCCAAACATAGCATAACCACACTGCTTCTAAATCTGATGAGGAAACAATGGTAAACCTTCAGCACCAGCCAGTGTTGGTCTATTTTCATTTATCTAGTCTATTCAACATGTTACATTCAAATTCTCATTGTCTTCAGTGGAAATTGGAAACAGATGTACACATAAAATGGTTATTTTATCATTAACTAGGAAAGGAATATAACTCATGCAAACTCCTTTTTATTATAAATTGTTCATAATTACTTAATGTAGTTCAATTCAAATTTAAATGAATTTTTTGTCTACATAGGAGGTCTAAGATATAATATAGAGAGAGAGAGAGAGAGGGGTGGTTAGGCTAGTTAAGTGTTGATAAATTGATTTAAGAGATTAGGTCTCACTTATGACTTTTAGATCAAAATTCAAATAATTTATTTTTAAGTATTCTATGAAAAGCAACATAAATAACTTTACTCAAAACTTAATGCCAATGGAAAACTAATTATAAAATGAATAAAATGTTATTTCTTCTTCTCTTTTTGTTGTGGGGAAGAGGGTACAGATCAGTGATCAACTAGCTTTTACATTAGAAAAATAGAATTGGAGCCCACAAGGACACAACCACATGGGAAAACCAATACTGGTGCCTTTACAGAATTTAGCTTTCCTTATTCTCTCTATACTTAGCACCCAAGGCTGCTTCTATGCTGTCAATTTTGCCGAAAGTGATGAGCTTGTACCAAGAAATTACACCCTTTAAGGTTTCATTATATTACAACTCATGCCATCAATATATATGACTCAGTGTTCCACATTTTCTGCTGTAGAAATCAAAACAATGGCATTTCTGTAATTCTGGTGACAAATAATGTGCCAATTGGACATCATAAAGATAGTAGCAACTTGTAGAACAAAGTGATTTTATAAAACTAAAAAGGGCATCAAAGCTTCCTTCATGAGATTGAGAACCATTTCTAATTGCTTTTGCTTGCATTTGTATACATTCTTCCGAGCCTTCCCTATCCAAACCCTTTCAAACTAAAATCCTTCCTTTTGTGATGTCTCGCTTGAGGCTAGCAAAGAAGCTTCAACCTGCCAAGAAGGCATGGAAGAGCTTCTCCAACAGATTACAGTCCAAATTCAACAAACTCAACATCACCAAGTCCATCAAAACCACTCTTCAACGCTTGATTTCAGCATTTCATTCCCTTAGCAATCTCATATCCTCAAAGGGTCATCGCTCTCTCACTAGTAAAAAGCCATATGCTACTACTTCTTACCACCATTTTCATCACAAGAACTTTGCTGCTATAGGCATAGATGAACTCTTTTCTGAGGCTGCTTCTGTGTCTGTGCATGCCACCAATTGCAACAAGAGTACTCATGCAACACAAGGGGAAACAAGCAGAGGCAAAGAGGTTTATGTTAACAAGGATTTGGTTGGTGAGAGTAGTGGCATGAATACTATAGAAGATGCATGGAAAGCTGTGGTTGCTAAGTCTCCACAACTGCATGTGGATCAAAAGGCAGAAGAGTTCATCTCCAAGTTTCATGAAGATATGAGGCTTCAGAAAGAGAGGTCAATGCTTGAATTTCAGGAGATGCTAGCACGCAGTGCCTAAATTTTATCTCAACACATTCATTTTCTAATTTGACATATACTACAAGATACAAAATATGGGAGGTTATATTTATAATTTTTTTTTCTTAAAATATCTTACAATGATTTTATTACATGCACTTTCGTCAAAATCAAATTAAGTGCCCTCATTTAATATCTTTTTATCACTGTTAATTTGATTTTGATCTAACAACAAGAAAAATAATGATAAGAAGTTATAAGAAAAAGAGATTGTAAACATAACCTCCCTTTATACCAAGGATGATGTTTGGTTTTGCTTTTATTTTTATTTCATTTTTCATTTTGGCTTCTATTGAGAAGCAAAATAAGCACATAATGGTTTTGCAAAGATGTGTGAAGATGTATAGGAAATTTAGGCTTTTGTGAGGGATTTTTTTTTTCATTTATTTGTATTCTTTCTTCTCTTGGCTCGCAGTATATATATATCTGATCGATTGTGCATTTGTTTATGAAAATATATAAAAGTGTGTATGGAATGTATTAGCAAGTGACTTTGTATTTCTTTCTTCATTTATTTTGTATGGAATGTAATAGCAAGTGTGTATGAAAATAATAAAAGTGTGTATGAAAATTGTTTTATAAAATTATTCTACAAAATAAAAATATAAAAGAACTTGTTTCATGAAATTTGTTTTAGGGACCGTATATGCAAATAAAGCAAGGGACACCAACCACTACCCCAATGCCTTATTTGAGATACTTTATTATTATAATAATATTTATTATATACTTTCATACAAATTCAAATAAAATGGTTCAAGCAGTGACCCCCGATTGGATTGATCACCTACTGATCCACAGTACTCCAATCGGATCGATCACTTATGCTGTTTTTATAACATTGATAGATCGGGTTCATGGATATTGATTTTTATTTTTGATTCTAAATAATGGATGATTACATGGATTGGTTGTCAAACTTGGTATGCTACATTGTATCGACACTTGAAAAAATCTGAATTGTCGTGTCCGACCCGACATTTTTCAACACTCTTTGATACTCTGACACACTCTAACATCTATAATATTTGAAATTTCATTAGATATCATGAAAATTTGATCGATATTTTATCAAACTGATATAATAAAAATTAAAAATGGATACCGAATAAATCTCACTAAAGTGTATAAGATATTTTCAATTTGAAAATATAATAGTAAATATTTACATCTTATATTTTTTTGCAAAATTGAAGAGTATTATAAGTTTAATTTCATTTTTTTATTAAAATATTGAATATTAAATATAATATACACTACATAAATTACAAATTATTTAATATCAAAATGTGATCTAACGTATCGAAATCTAACATTTTTTAAAATTAACTTGTCGAAATGTTGTGTGTCTTATCTCGTATCGATATCGATGCAAGATACTATCTAGGTATATAGTTGTAACACCAACGACTAAATCTTAGCTTCTTGTTAGTTATAGTGCAGGTTGTGCAGCTTTGATTATATTTATTATATAATTGTATCTAGGGTTTAAAATCTCTCATATTGTAAATGATAAAATATTTTTTTACACACACACAGAGGGAGTATGAGATCCTTTATTTTTCTCTCTTCTCCTTACATGACCCCACACACTTTTGTGTGTATAAGATGTAAAATAATCTCTTATAACATAAGAAACATTAAATCTTTATATATATATATATATATATAATATGGGGTAAATATTTCTACAGTCACTTTAGATAAGGTTATCTACAGCTACCCCAAAAATTACATCGTTTTGATTAATGAAGAATTTTATGTGAATTAATGAAGGGTGTTTCCGTAATTTTGTTTATTTTTTTATCATATATATTTTACTGAAATACCCTTCATTAATTCACCTAAAATTACAGAAACACCCTTCATTAATCAAAACGACATAGTTTTTGGGGTAGCTGTAGATAACCTTATACAAAGTGGCTGTAGAAATATTTTTTTTCCATATAATATATACATTGTTGTTAAAAACTAGTGTAAAAACTTACGTTTTTACTTTTTTACTAAGGTGATACGTTTTAAAACGCAAGTAAAAACTCTCATTAGTAAAAACTGGTAAAAACTACGTGTATAAACGTAAAAATGGTAGAAACACAAATTTTTACGTTTTTACTTAAACCAAAACATCAAAGCAGGTCAACTTTTAACCTATGATTGATTTTATTTTTATATTTTTAATAATAATAATAATAAAAACCTATTTCCATTTCCCCAAAACAAATGCACAGTATCTTCTTCTAGCTATTTGAAAAAAAAATCCTCATGCGCAGCTGCTGTATTTTCATTTAAGAGTTGTTAAACTTTTTTCTTTTGATGTTGTAGAACTTGGTTATAGGAGTTGTTAAACTTTTTTTGTATTTTTGGATTTATGTCTTATATAGTTATGTGAGTTATATCTTTTAAATATGAAGTTATTCATTGACTTTTGAGTAGTGATTTATGTGATATTTTTTTTACATGCATATATATATATATATATATATATATATATATATATAATTTTTTGTATCTTGACCTTAAGTAGTAAAACCTTTACCTTTTGTGTCATTTCTACGATTTACGTTTCTACAATTCCCTTCCGTTTCTACGTGAAACTCAATTTTGACAACATTGTGTGTGTGTGTGTGTGTATATATATATATAGGGATAGGATATTGTGACAACCAAATAATGTTACTACCAAATCTTAATCGTTGATTTCCGCAATCAACGGTTAAGATGTGGTAGTAACATTGGTAGTAACATTATTTGGTTGTCACAATATCATATCCCATATATATATGGGAAATGTTTTTCTCATGTTGCATGAGACAAATTGTCTCATGCAATACACAAAAAAGTGAGTGGGACACACTGAGAAGAAGAGAAAGAAAGGAAAAAAGTGGATCTTATCCACTTTTTTGTGTGTTGCATAAGATAATTTATCTCATGCAACATGTGAAAAACATATCCCTATATATATACATATATATAGGTTATATATATATAGGTCAGGATCATTTTACACTAGTGTAAGTTACACTTTTAATCTTGTCAGTTGATTCCACTTATCAAATTTTTAGTAATATGAACCATTGGACACAAATGGATCAATGGTCAAGATTAAGTGTAAGACTTCTAATGTAAGAACTCGCACCGTTAATTAAGGAAGTTAATTAATTAATTATGAGAAATTAGGAAATAATTTCATAATTGATCCTAATAATTATTATGAGGCTCTAATAATTATAGTAAGTGAGTAAGAATGCTGAAAGTCGCTTTTCGGAAGAAAAGTGCAGATACCGGTTCTGCTAGTTGGTATAAATCCGTACCGAAAAAGTATTCTGGAAAATTATAATAAGTGCATGATAATTACTAGAATAATATGTAGGACTTGTAAAATGAGTTTCAAGTCAAAATAATGAGAACTGGTGCCAGAAACTAGTATTGGCTATGAAAAGCGCGTACCGGAAAGGTGCTCCAAAAATTATAAGAAAAATATAATAATTCTTGTAAAATTGAGTAGGTTAAGAATTCAAAGTTTGGGATTAAAATGCTAAGCGTAGCAATTAAAGTTAATATTGTGTGTTAAAGGCTTAAGTGACTATAAATGCAACTTATGCACAAAACCCTAGGCCATATTGGCTTCCTACGTGAATGCTTAGCTGCTGAGTGCCTCTTCCTTTGTTGTTCATCCCTTTCTCTTCACCTTGAGAGCCAATAAGTCATCTTTCTTCTTGGTTTCTTCATCAAACACTTAGTGTGAGTGGGGAGAGTGCTTTTGTTCTGAGTTTTGTCACTGCCTTGTGAGGGGCTGAGTTGGTGGTTTTGGTTATGGGAACCTTGGAGTTGGCTTTTTGAGCTTCTAGGTGTGATCTTTTGGTGCAAGAATCAACCTTTGGTGTGGCATTTTCGTGCACCTTCTTGGCCTGCATTGTTGGAGCTGTTTGGAGAGCTCCATGAGCCTTTGCTTTTCTGTTTTGAACCTTGAGTAAGTGGTTCTACCCTTGGTCTTGAGTTTTGTTGCTTAAAGATGAAGTCTTGGCATGTTAATGGGTTAAACAAGTAACCAACTGTCATATGAACATAAATGAACCTTAAGATGCATGTTTAAGCTTTTGGAAGTGTTAAAAATGGAACCTTGGAAGGATATCTTCGCGAAATGCAGAAACTGCATTCTGTTGCGAAATATCCGGATATTTGGTCGACAAATATCCGGATATTGATATCCGGATATGGGGATCTTGATATCCGGATATGTGATATCGGGATATGTCCCCGAGGAATATCCGGATATTCTAGGTTTGCGAGGAACAGTAGCGTACTGTTCATCCAGAACTGATCTATGCATTTGTGGACCCTAGTTTGAGGAAGTTGAACTTCTGTAATTAATTAATATAAGTCAGAATCATATGATTAAGGGCTTATGGCTTGGTAAGAAGCCTTAAGACGTAAAACGTAATGGAAATGCGTTGTCTTAATATTGTATGCTTGCGGTGCATGTTTATTGATATATTATTGGTCCATAACATATTGTGAATCTACTGTGTTTGGACTTTGAGCTGTGGACTCTTGGCTTTGGGTGTTAGCTTGCAAGGTAAGCTTTTGTGTCCTCGGTTTAGCCATGTTATGATTCCACCATGTCCCATAGGGGTATGGTTATATGCATGTTGTGTTAAATGCTTTGGATATTTTGAAATGTTTTTGAGCTGATATGTGCAATGGCTTATAATATGTATGTGTTGTTTCCACTTAGTCGGTAAGCCTGAGTATGTGGCGTCATACAAGATGGTGAGTCTGTGGGTGGGTGCAAGTAGCGTCTTGCATATTGTGTGGGTAATAATGTGATCCTTCATTTTTCTGATCAGTAGAATAGTATTGACACACATGACATGATTATCTGCTGCATTGCACTATTTTAGAACTGATGATGATAAACTGCTTTTGAACTTATATTGCACATGTAAGTGAGCTTGGGGTGGAAGATCCTGGAGGACCCCT